ATGGTCAATACTAGTCCATTTCAGCTCACTAATGCCTAAGATACCAATGTTTATGCATTCCATTTCATTTTTAACAACTTCCAATTTTCCCAGATTCATACTCCGTACATTCCATGTTCCGATTTTCAGGGGATGTTTACAGCTGTTTCTCTTTGTTTTGAGTTGTGCCCCATCAGCAAATGAAGGTCCCACGGGCTTTACTCCATTCGCGTCATCATGGTCAGCTCTACTTTGAGGAGGCAGCTCTTCCCCAATTGCATCTTGAGTGCCTTCCAACTTGAAGTGGTCATTTTCCGGCACTATACCTGACAGTGTTTCTCTGCTATTCATAAGGTTTTCAGTGACTAAATATTCGGAAGTAGTTTGTCACTCTTTCTTCCTAGTCTGCAAGCTCATCTGAAACCTGTCCACCATGGGTGACCCTGCTGGTATTTAACATACCGGTGGCATAGCTTTCAGAATCACAGCAACTCAAGCCACCACAGTATGATAAACTGACAGATGTGTGGTGGCCGTTTGGTTTTAAGTGGAAACTGTATCACTTTATATTTCAAGGAGATCTGTGTGCATGTGTAGTAGAACCCCCCAGGAGTGTGGGTGGGTGTCCATTCACTCAGGCATCCCCTCTAGTCACCAGAATGGAGGTCCACAGACAGCGAGAGACTGATGAAGAGATACCAAAAAAAGAGAATGTCCACACTTGTATCTCCGTCGTTCTGTCAGGCCTTTGTGGCTGTTCTGATCCTTTCCCCGCCTGGTCTCTTCCAAAATGGTGGCTCCGGGAGCTTAGACCCAGGAATTTTGACTCCCTTCTTCTTTTTTTTTAAACAAACAAATTTTTTATCGTGAATTGGGTGAAGATTTATAGAGTAGATCAGTTTTCCATTCAGCAGTTCACACATATTTTGTTAAATCTCATTGATTGTTGTCTCCATAAAGTAACCTCACATATCCCATTTCTTCGTTGTGTTTTCTGTTTCCATTCCCCCCTCTTTCTTAAACCTTTCTGAACTTTGTCCTTGGCTAAGTGCTGTCCTTCTGATCTCAGGTGGCTGGTTATTCTAAGATGTGTGTACCTCCCTAGTGGTGGTATTGTTCTTAGGTGCCATCGAGTTGGTACCAACTCTTAGCGACCCTGTGCACAACAGAACGAAACACTGCCCAGTCCTAGGGCCAACCTAACAGTTGTTGCCATGCTTGAGCCCATTGGTGCTGCCACTTTGCCAGTCCATCTCGTTGGGAGATCTTCCTCTTTTTCTCTGACCCTCCACCTTACTAAACATGATCTTCTCCAGCAACTGGTCCCTCCTGACGATATGTCCGAAGTATGAGAGATGAAGTTTGGCCATCCCTAGTGTTACTTGTCTCCTTATAGACTGTCATTTGGCTGAAAATTGCGTCATTTTCAGTCATGAAGGTGGTGCTAGCAGTTTCTGTCTCATCTGAAAGCCTGATTTTTATGATTTTGAGTTTTGAAAAGTCCACATTGTCCTCTTACTCCCAGGACCTTCTAACTTGATCCCTTTCAGAGTAGTTTGTGGTAGGAGCTGGGTACTGTTTAGGTCTTCTGGTCTCAGGATTGTGAATACTGATTTTCTAGATTTTCTTCACTTTCTTTTAGACAGGGTTGGCTCTCTTATTCTTGTATCATTGAACTTTGAGCTACATCCTCTATGAATGGCATTTGAACTTTAAAACACTCAATCCCTGTAGGTGTTGAACAATGGTTAAGAATTCCTATCATCAAGAAACCTTAAAAGCCCTTTAACTTGGGCAGCTTGAACAGATACTTACAGATTTGTGCTCTAGGAGCCGGCAGTCTGACAGGTCAAACAGTAGTTTGATAACATTCCTGACCCCTGTCCCTCTAACTCTAAAGTGGCCCTTAATTCTACAAAGTTCAGATTAAGAAATATTTTTTTAATTTATGAATGATAAAAAAATCTGTTAATTTATTACAACAACAAGGAGCATCTCAGAAAGAATTTTTTGAATGATTGTTGTATCTTTCACACATGAAGAAAAGCACTTACTTCCTGGAAAAGGAACAATTCAGGAGACTCTAGTAGCCCAGGGAACACAGTTGAATGACTCTCTATATAAGGAGTTCTGGTGTGGTGCTGCAGAGTAAGCAACAAGGTTGGTTTGAACTGCAAGGTCAGCAGTTCAAACTCACCAGCTGCTCCTCAGAAACCCTATATAACAAGGTCACTGTGAGTCAGAAATGACATGATTTAACAACAGATACATCTGTAAAGGGGAGATAGTAAATATTTTTGACTGTTGTATCCATGAAATCCTTTAGGAATTTTTTTAAAAAGATTCTTTATCTAAGAAGAGCCTTTTTCTACCCTACACAGGAATAAAAGTAGAGATAAGTGCACTTTCTGTGGACTGAGTTGAGTAGCTTTGAATGACTGCAGACTTCTTGCTTCCCACTTCTCAGTTCTTTCTCTGTGGTTTTTTGATTAGAGCCCTTAGCCCCCATCAGCTTTGAGGCTTGCCAGAGCCCTTAGCCCTCTCTTTGTATCAGTGATCAAAACAGTGGTGTTTCAAGAGTCATGTCCTGGGGAAAGGTGGAAATATTGTAGAAGGAGGTCTGTTGTGTAGTGTTGGACAGTTGCTCTGCTTCTCTGACTTTATTTCTCTATCTGTAGAATAGTGTTAACAGTACTTTAAGAGGTGGTTGTGAAATGAAGATGTGAAAAGTTGTTTTGTAAGCTGTAATGTATTGATAAATGTTAGTGGTTTTCTCCAAAGGGCTTCCAGATAGTTTATGGACATATCTCTATTATTAAAGCATAACAATATTATATAATAATGTACTTTAGATGTTGTGTCAGTTGTTCACATTTGAAAAGGTATGGAGCTGTCTGCCTCCTCAGTCTTCTCAGAGCTCAGAAAACCTGTGTACTGGAGTTGATGGACACCGTGACAGCTGCTTTACTGGTATTAGAATTCCCGGTTCTGGAATTTACACATTGTTACTCAGACAGTTCTAATTTCATATCTATCAAATGGTTATCCCCATTTTAATATGTATCTCACAGTTTTGTTATGCAGGTTATATGAAAAAGATACTCTGTGTAAAAACAACAACAAAAAATTTACATATTTGTACATAGTTTTTGTTTCTTGAATTTTTCCTTGGCAGAGTAAAAAACTGCCCATTTTAAAGGGACTTTTCTTTTCTTTTTGGAAGACTTGACACACATCATGCTTTTCTTAAAATCAGGATTATCCTGAATTTAAAAAGGCTTTCTTCCCCCCCGGGAGCATGGTAGCTCCATACGATAAGCATTGGACTTCAAACCACAAGAGCCAGCCAACTACTCTGAGGGAGAAAGAAAGCTTTCTGCTCCCTCCAAGATATAAAGGTTCAAAACCCTAGACAGGGTTGTTACGGGCTGGAACCAACTCCAGGACACTTAACAACAACAGCATTTCCTACCCTAGGGCCTCTTTTGCGAACAGGTTCTTCGGGTTTGAAAGTTAGTCATTTTAGTCTGTACTACTAAGTGCCAAAGCTTCTATATGCCTTGATAAAGCAAAGAATAAGAAGATTAAAATAGAGTGGGCTGGTTAGGGAAAGTCTTGGGGAAAGTGGGACTCTAGTTGAACTTTGAAGGATAAGTACAGTTTGGTAATAAAGGTAAGGGATAGCATTTCAGAATATGGTGGGAGAATTCACAAGAGCAAAACACATGCAGTTCAGTTTATTGAGCAAACCTTGAGCTGTAATGTTTGGTTGCGCTTGGAAACAGATGAGTGACACTGCTGTCTGACTTTAAGAAAGTACTCTGAAAGAGGGACATTATAATGAATAATTAGAGTACAGTAGAGTGGTGGAGATACTCAGGAGCTGCAGTAGAACTGCAGAAAGAGGGGTACCTAATATCTTAGGAATTCAGGAAGGCAGAGGGCAGAGGAGACGGTGCAGACAAACTGGCTGGTAGGTTACTGTGTAAGAAATGAAGAAGGCAGTTGGTAAATCTAACTAGGGTAGAAGCTCAAGATTTAAGACTTTATAATGTAGGAAATGCAAAACTCTTGAAAAAACTTAAGCAAGTATGTTTGAGGAGGCTTCAAAAGTTCATAGAAATTTGGAAAATATGGAAACCTAAATAAAATTGGTGAAAATTCTCTGACTATTCAGATGAATACACACACATCCAAAAAAAAAAGTTCTACTACCTTTTACTTTAATTTTTTCATGAGCTTTTTGAAACCCCCTTGTATTTTAGGGAGATTAGTGAGTTGGTTATGGAATTCTGACGTGTCACTGTATGATAAGCACTGGACTGACTGCTCACTGTAAGGTCAGTGGTTCAAACCCACCACCTGCTCCTTGGAAACCCTATCCTATGATGTCAACGGCAGTCCAGTGCTTATCCCATAGTTATGAGTCGGAACTGACTGGACAGCACTGAAGCACAAGATGAGTTGGTGATGTGTAGAATGGTGGAGTAAGAGCTTGAAAGCAGGGCAGACACATGGGAGACTTTTGTAGTAGTCCAAATTAAGTATGAGAAAGCCTGAATTAGAACTGTGGAGGAAGGCATGAAAAAGCAGGAACAAATCATCAAGAACTGATAAGAGTTCTTGCCTGACTTGTAGCAAATGGAAAAGAATCATATCTTCTGAACCGTGGCCTCTCTGGGAGGGTGGTAATGCTGTTAAAGAAACAGGGATGAAGGGGTGGGTGAATATAATGTACTTAATGCCACCCAGAGGCTCATATACCCCATGGTAACATAGTGGTTGCGAATTGGGCTGTGAACCTTAAGGTCAGCAGTTCGAAACTACCAGCTGTTCCATGGGAGACAGATAAGGCCTTCTGCTCCCGTAAAGATTTACAGCCTCAGAAACCCTGTACAGAGTCGCTATGAGTTGGAACCGACTCTACAGCGCATAACCACCACCACCAATCCTTTACCCCATGTCTCTCAAGCCCCGCTACTCTTACAGCCAAGCCTAATTACTATGGATTTTGATTGCAGCTCCTCCACCTCCACCACCCATGGTTCGAAATGGCGCCAGGGATGCTCCCCCTCCCCCTCCCCCATACCGAATGCATGGGTCAGATGCCCTGAGTCGAGGAAAGCCCCCACCTCCGCCTTCAAGGACACCAGCTGGGCCACCTCCACCTCCTCCTCCACCCCTGAGGAATGGCCACAGAGATTCTATTACCACTGTCCGATCTTTCTTGGGTGAGTAGCTAGCTGTTTAAGTCACCTAGTTCCTGTGCTGATTTCATGCTCTTCAGTCAGTGGTCCAGGGTTTTTACTTTGAAGGTAATGTTCCTAGTATGGAAACCTGTGGTAAGTGACTGTCAGAAAATGTGAGCTTTCTTTTAGAGGGTCCTTGAGATGGCTTGTCCCGACTGGGTTGCAGAGCTAAAAGAGGGTTAACCTGGGCCGAAAGGAACTTATCAGGTCCCATCTCTCACAAGCTAGAGACAAGGATTCCTATTTTACATTATTTTCTATCAGTTTGTAGATTCAGTTCCATTTGCTTCCCATGGTGACAGTCTCTAAGAGGACCTATGTTATAGAAACACAGGACTATTTCTTTGTGTTCGGTGCAAACACGTGGGCTTCTTTCCTGTTGAGTACCTAAGTCTTGTTCGAAAAGTTTAAAGTAGGGATTAGAACCCATTCTTCGTAGTTCAGTCATGGCTGAGAAAGCGAAACCAGAATGGTCAAAGCCCTGCTAGAAACTTAATCTCCCCATAGAAACCAAGGGAAATGTGCACATTGCATAGCAACCAAATCCCTTCCCAGACCCTTCTGAGACAGCAGTGCCCAGTTCCAAGATGGCGCACCATTTTGAATGTCCACCACTCTCCGCAGTACTGGTAAGAATCCGGTCTCCTGCAGCAAGTTTCTCAAAAAGGGCTTACTGCACCTCTTCTGATTGGCCCATTCCAGGGCTTTGATCTTATTGTTCCAGTTCACCCAGATTTTTAAAATTTATATGTGCTTCAGTTTTATTTCATCAGTCATGACTGAAATCGATTCAAAGCCCTGGTTTAAAGAATCAGCCCATGGGTTCACTCTTTTCAATGACAAGTCTTTGAGCATGTGTGGCACATAGGGTGATCCTGTTCCTGGCTCACCAGGTGAGACAGACTGCATAGGACTCGTAATGATGTAGACGTACGTCTCTGGGAGCACAAGGAAGGGTGATAGAAATATTATGTTATTTTTCAGATGATTTTGAGTCAAAGTATTCCTTCCATCCAGTAGAAGACTTTCCTGCTCCGGAAGAATATAAACACTTTCAGAGAATATATCCCAGCAAAACAAACCGAGGTGAGAAGAGTAGTAATGCTTCACAGAATGTGCAATTTGGACATTGTCTTTGGTGAAATTTACTTCTCTTTACCTTCATTGTATTAAAACAAAACAATAAAACCCAGTCCCCAAGTTTTAAGACTAGCTTAAAAGATCTGCCTCTCATTTGAGGAATTTTGCATTATTCAGGGTCTGGTTGGTAATCTTTGCACACATGTGCATTTGTTTTTTTCAGCTGCTCGTGGAGCACCACCTTTGCCACCCATTCTCAGGTGAAGCCTGGCTCAATCCTGTTCTTCGGCAAAAGGATGGACCTTCTCCTCTTCTCACGTGGTCCCTTCCATTCCCCTGAAACCTGCATGAGAGCTCCTGACTTATTTCTCCAGTGCACCCAACCCCTAGACTCCAAGAATCCTCCCAGCTCACCTCCATCTATGCATCTCGTCTCTGGACTTGGTGATCAGACTCTGTACCTTGGCAGTCAGGTCTCAAACCCTGCATTCATTCCTCCAATAGCAGATCTGCTCGCCAGATGAGAAGAAGCTCCCATGTCTTCTGCTTTCCTCTCGGGGAAAGGTGCCTTGTTGTGATGAGTTAACTCATTGTTGGGGCAGGGTTGAGAATGGTACTCCTACCTCCTTCAGTCCACTGTGGGGGAAGCTTGACAGGCATATTTGATCATTTAGGAGGCTGGCATGGCCAGGACTTTTGGAGGGCAGGGTGGGCATATTCGGTGAAACAGAAGAGGAATTTGCAGACAGATGATCTGTTGTAAAGGTCAGGTTTGGAGAAAGGGCAAGGAAATGGGCCTGCTTTATTTTTAGGGTTATTTTTTGTTTTGTTCCCTCTCCCCTCCCAGGGATAAGTTAAATATAAACACTGAATACTAGTCAATTGAACTAAACATCTGATAAAAAGAAAGGGTAAAATAAACTGGGGATCCATCTAGAGCTAGTCAGTTCCTGTGCAGCTAAGGGACCAGGAGCCATTTGAATCCTCTAGGACTCTTTGTCCTATTTCCTTAGGGTGCTGAGGCTAAGGGATCAGTGATTTTTTTTCCTCCTCCTAGTCCCTATCCTCGCAAGAGAAAAGTTGTTTTTTTGTTTTTTGTTTTTTTTTTAACAAGGGTAGAGTGAGGAGACATCATTCATTCCTGATTCACAAACTCCAAAAGCCTCTGATGAGAGATAAGAAGATAGGGCCTAGGCTTTGACCTTTAACCTTTACCCCATCTCAGTCTTTCAATACTTTTTGGAAAACATCAGCCCCTAGTGGGTGCTCCAGCACAACAAAGAGGTACCTCATGGAAGGGACTGGCACATTGGGACTACACAAGACTTAAAGATCTGCTGCTTCTGAAGTTCATAGCCCCATCTGACTGAGCAGGGTCTTCCTATTCCTTCTTCCATCACCCTCACCTTCCCAAAACTGCGGGGCCAACACAACACACAGCAGAGTTCGAGGGTAAGCCAGTTAGTAGAAGTTTATGAGGTGGTCCATGCCAGGGATCACTCCATGCCAAGAAGCACAAAGACTTTGGTGAGATGTGCCTAGTCTAATAGATCTTCCTTGGCAGCCAGAAATACATGTTTCTTTATCTTTTAGGCCATAGTTACAGAGCCCAGAGAAAACAGGTTTTCAGTCTAGGTAGGAACTGAGTTTGGGCTTCCCCTTCTCCAACAGCAGGCTGGGACTCCTGGCTGCCATATACCAGATGGGTTGGTGTCCTATAGTTGTTGCCAAGGGCAGAGGCTGCTGAAAACTTCATGTAAGAGCAGGGAGGCCATGACTGTTCCTTGAAGTGAATGGGGATGCTTAAACATTTTCACCAACCACAGCCCAGATTTAAGGTCCTTAGGGACCGTCAGTCTTTTGGTTCAGAGGGTAACTAAGGATCTGTGTGTGGTGCCAGTCTTCCCATTGCTAGGTGAGGGGAGAGGGGTCAGGTTAGGTTATCTGTATATCTCATGTTTTACCCCTGGACCGTATTGACTCTTAGGACAAACCATGATTAGGTGAGTCAGTGGACTTTTTGTAATTGTTCTTATTTATCAGTTTTATTTTCAAATCTCTTAGCAGTTATCTCTTAGAAGTGACCCCAGTATCCTGAAGTGTGTGGAGTTGAGAGAGGGACCACTAGTAGAGGAAAAAGGAGAGAGTGCAAGAGTTGATGCAGCAGCCGGGTCCCAGGGTAAATGCTGACATGTCACTGAACTTTGACTGTGAAGTATTCCCATTTATTTTTGAAATGGGAATTGATGCCTTTTGTATAATGTTATCAAAGTGTGTATGTATTTTTTTTTTTTCCTGTACTTAAACTTAGAGCATCAAAAATAAGTATCACAAGTAAAAGCCAAACCCCAGCTTTTCATTGGGGCTGATCTCGTCCTCTCCTCTCATCTGCTGCCTCTCAGATTCATCAGCATTTGGGCTGTGTCACATGAGTATTGATTGTATTTGTGTTATCTCAGCTCATGAAAAAAGGCCTGGGCCTAGATCTAGTCAAAAGATTTTTCTTTTTCAGAGCATGGTGATGACCCAGTTCCTATTTAAATATTTTTGCCTTATACACTATTTGGTCTGGCTGTTAATAACAGATTTATTATCATGTATATTTACTATTGAAGAATGGGAATGTGATCCTGATAGTTACTGATCTATTTTGTATGTTGTAAAAAGCGTATATTAGGTTTAAGGTGGGCTGACTGCAAGAACACTAAAAATTCCCACCTTTTAAACTGCTTTTTATCTGCTTGTGGGACTATTGTCTCTTCAGTGGAAGATTGGGTGGTCTCATGTTGAGGCTGTTACCCAGTCCTCCCATTAACTACTTTGACCCCTCCCAGAGGAAGAGACATGACCCAGCTAAGCATCAGGAAGCTGTGTTAAAAGCCCGTATATGGGTTTGGTTTTGTAATGTTTTTTCCCTAATGGGAAAAACTTAATAGTTGTTTCTTTACCGCTCTTTGTCTGGTAAGCAGGGCAGTGGCCTCCAAATTTTTAAATGAGCTCTGTGCCCCTTTTTCCCTTCTCCCTGGTCACCCAACCTGGACCAAAGCACTTTGACAATCCAGGTGTGGTTTTCTGTAGTGTGAGGATTGCCTCCAAAGCCCCATCCCTTTCACTGCCCAGGTCCACAGAGTGAGAGTGCCTGGAGCTACCCCACCTGATGGATGTTAGACTAATCTCTCCAGGAATCCATCCTAACCCTCCCAGATGGCAAAGAAAAGGAGACTAGCCACTGGCCATTGCACTGGGGGATTCACCTCACCTCATGGCCTCCCAACTTGAAATGCAGTTTTACCTCCTGGGAGAGGTGAGAAAATAATTGTAAATAGATTTGCTATGGAGCAACTCAGGGTTGGGCTGTGTTTTTATTCTCCTGATCACTTGAAATAATCTGTAGGCTGAGTGTTTATGGGAGTGGGGGAAAAGTGACTCCAGGATTCTTCCTTTCTGTAAAGCTCTAGGGGGTGGAGTCTAGTACATCTGAGGCCCTTTATGATAGGACGTTGAGCTGTGTCCTTCTGGAAACCTGACCTGCAATCAACTGCAAATCAGATTCTTCACATTCCAGTCCAAGTCTTTCTTCCCCTATTGAATCTCAGTCCCTGCCTATGTGGCCCAGCTGGCGGATGCCAGCCACCCTTTAGGGAGTGGGAGGGGAGAGAGGAGGGCCCTTACAAGTCTGCCTTCATGACTTAGCTCTTAAAAACAAAATGAAACAAATATTATCACCTTCAAACATGTATTAAAAATAACTGTTAAACTGAAGGCAGGGTTTGGTTCCATTCAACTCCACGTTCATTGTGCCTTTACTTGTGTTAGATTTCTGTGCTTTCTTCCCTCCTTTCCTCTTTGAAGCAATTAAAATCTTCCTTGGTAACTGCTGTTTCCTTCCTTCTGTTCCTTTTCTGACAACCTAGTGGCTTCCCTCTCTCATTGTGTCATGGTAGCAGAGGAGCCTAGCCTTTAAAAAATTGTTTTTAACTTCTAATGCCTACCCTTCCCCAGGGTGACCAGCGTGGAAGCCCCAGTCAACACTGAATAAAAGACTAGAATGACATGAGTGATGTGTGTGTGTGTGTGTGTGTGTGTGTGTGTGTGTGTGTGTCTGCATGTGGGTCAATTAAATAATTTATTGTATGATTTATTTTGAAGATATATTCTGATGACAATGCTCCTTCTCCCAATATCATTGAACACCTCCCACACCCCAAGATGTATGATGTGGTCTCAGATTGGATTCTTTGGTACATTTCTTTCTTCTGGATACCGTGCAGTTAATTAAACCTTACTTTCAAAAACAAATCAAACTCAAAAACTGTGTGCTCTTGTCTAGAATACTGCTTCAAGTGGTGACTTAGAAAGGGGGTGAGTGAGATCTATTGCCTCATTGTTCGGATTAGTGAAATGGTTTGACTTCAGGCGTCTATACAGGTGGATACACACTTGGGCAGAGGCACTTGAAGCTTTCTTCCCAAGTGTTTTCGCTTCTCTTTTTGCTCTGTTTTCCAAACAGTTCTAGTTAGCCATGCTGACCAGGTGATTCTTTTGTTTTGTTTTCATTTGCCACCCAGCTCTCCTTTGCCCTTGATTTCTTGGACCCCATAGGCCCTGTCCTCTGCGTCTGCTCCTGATACCCCTTTTTATGGTTCTTTCTACCTACGTTGCACAACAGGTTCTCAAACTGAGGAGTGGAAGAAAAGACGGGGGCAGAGCACACAGATGGTTTGTGGTTTTATGTGAGTTTTGGCTATCTTCACAGCTTTTTAGATCATTTTCTTGAACTTTGACAGTAGGTGTGAAAATTCAGCCAGATGTCCTCTGCACTGGCATGATAACCACTGAGTTCAACTTGCACTTTTTCACTGCTAGCAAAGGTCTTGAAATTGTTTTCCATACTGATTCATACTAGGTGTGTGTATGAATCACATCATTTAGATATAAAAACCTCAGAGTTGGGAGGGAAGGGAACAAAGGCCTCTTGGTTTTCATCCATACTACACTGGCTGAATTCCTGGTGATTTGATCCGCTGTTATTAATATGATTAATAAACTTCCTATTTTTTGATTTAATTGTTCTTACTTTGACTTTAAATGGCCCTCAGATAAAGCATAATAACCTATAGCTTCCTAACCCTCCAAGCTTTATTGGAACGATATTGGTGTGTGCGTACATGTATGTACTTGTGCACACTCACACAAAGGGATGCCAGACAAGCCCTTCCAGTGCCATTGGATTCCTCTTACATGACGTGTGCATAAACAGGTGATAAGAACACAGGTTTGGTCAGTCAGATTATCATTGAGGCACAGACAGCTGCTGATATATAGTGCCTCTTAAGTCTTTTCCAGCCCTAATTCGGCCACAAACTAACTACAGGGAAATGCTTCACCTCTGACAACACTGGAGCCCAATCTAATTAGTTTTGTACATAAATGAATTCATTCTTCACTCTTAGGCTTAGGGAGTGTGTGCATATAAGATTTTAAGGACCGTATTGCTATTCAGTTACCAAAAGTATATGTGAAGGATGGATGCCCACTTAGCAGGAATATCCTTTCCATGTCTTCCTTCAATAGGCATTTATTACATACTTACTATGGGCCAGGCATTCCCATTATGAAGAGGAATAGAGCACGCCTCTTCCCTCAGGGAGCTCATAGTCTAGAAGCCTTCAGAACAACCACCCAGAGAAACTTTGAGTATTGAAAGGTCTTAGGGGAATTTGCCAGGGAAGGAGGATGGTGAACGGCATTCTAAATGGAGGAAACTGCATGGGCAAAGGCACAGAAGCGAGAAGCAGTGTGGTAGCTTTGCTTTAACCAGTGCTGTATTTCCTGGTGTGTGTTTTCATAGGCCCTAAAACGCACATTAAGGAGTTCTGGTAGCATAGTGGTTATGAATCTGGCTGTGAACCCAAGGTCAGCAGTTTGAAACTACCAGCTGTTCCGCGGGAGAAAGATGAGGCTTTCTGCTCCTGTAAAGATTTACAACCTCGGAAACCCTGTACAGGGTCACTATGAGTTGGAACCAACTCCACAGCACATAACAATATGCACATTGAGTACTCGGGCTCCTTTACTCCCTAGGCCTC